GCCTCCGGGTCGATTTTTCCAACTCGTCGCGGCGACGGCAGCACTTCTGACCAATCACAATGCAGCTTGTTGACACGTCAAATTCAACATGGCGGACCGCTTAATCCAATTTGTTTCAGCGAATTCAGTTATCTATGATAAAAAGGACAAAAACTACAAAGATAATGAATACAAAGATAACGTATGGAGACGGATAGCAGAGAATCTTCACTTGCTTGTGAACTAAACTGATTCCAAACAATATATATATATTTTTTTTTACCTCAGACACACGGCCAGGCGCCGTTCGGGGTCGATCGGATCCCTGTAATTATTTTTCTGTTTTATCGTGTGGGGGGTCAACAGCACCAACAACTCTTCAAACTGTCCCACAGACATCCTGAAATAGGTCCTAAAGCGACCATGATACAACTTCAGTTCCTGTACCAACCGATGAAACTCACCATGTACTCTCCTTGTTTTCAATATAGGATGGACCCAAAACCTTCTTTGTTTTCTTTTTTTATGTAGCAGGACAAGCAGTACATCGTCGCTTGATGTGGAGTCCATCTTTGTAGCGCGACGTTTTAAGAAAATATCGCTTATTCGCGTCGCGTTCGGTGTGAAAAGGCCTTTAGATATCATTTAGAAATCTGTTCCCTCTGATAACATCTAACAGTTATGTGCCATGTTAGCAACAGATGTCAACGATAAGTTTGGATGTTTAGTACATTCCTGTTTTGTTCACTTGTAGTTCACACTGCATGTAAAGCTGTTGTGCTGGCGTGTTATCCTGCGATTGCTTTCACACGTCCATGCATGTAGAATGTGTGGAATGCACAGGGAAGATGTTCACTGTGTGTTTCTCGCACAGCAAGAAAACAAATTCACCAGGTACAAGGAAGTTCACCTTTATCTGTGCTCAAGTGAAAGACTGCACTTCTTCCTTATTGGCCGAAGTCCTAACTTAACACACACACACACACACACACACATTTTTTTTTGTTCCTCATGGGGACTTGCACTCATTTCCTGGAGACTTATGTTAGAATTGGATTTCAGGAGTTGCAGCTGTTTTATTTACTGTTAGTATTATTTGGCTTCATAAGGATAAAGTTTAGTATGACTGTCAAAACAACATTTATTAAACTTTTAACACATTATTTTCAATCATGCAAGCAGAGGAGTTTTCACCTGAAACATGCGTAATGTTCACTGCTGCTGCCGTTTGGTAACTAAAACGGTTTTCATATACTCAGTGGGTCACTCACTCACAAGAGCAAAAAATGCCCAGATTTGCCTGCATCTGAACGTCACTTTAGTTTCATGGTGTAGTTACTGCTTCACTGACTGCAAGGCTCAAGTTGAGCACATACCTGTGCACGTGCTGTGCAGTAGCCTACAGCGGTGGAAAGTAACTAAGTACATTTACTCAAGCATGTATTTAAATACAAATTTTAGGTGCTTGTACTTGAGAATTTTTATTTTCTGCTAAATGTGTTAAAATAGAGAAGATAACACACACAGCCTATATGAACATTATAGAATATTGATGTGTAATGTTCCACCCATGTACAGGGCAGTCCCAGCCCGAGAAGATAAATGTGAATGATTTTTGATTATCGAGGCTCTTTGAGACTTGTCCTCTCGCAGAGCCCAGTGCTGTAATAACTCTGCATTTAACCAGAAGAAAATAAATCCACTTGAAGCTGATTCCTGTATCCTGAGTGTTACTTCTTTGGGCCTTCAGACAAAAGAACCGGGTTAGAATTAAAACTTACCTTAACCTTGAACCAAACCACTACTTGCTTAACCCTAACCTAGCCATCACAACTAAAACCAAGTCTTAACCCTCCAGCATTGTGAGGACCAGCTACTGTAGGTGTCCTCACAGTATCAAAATAGCCTCATCTATTCTGGAAGCATTTGTGGTGCTGGTGAGGCTGGAGGCTGCCTGCTGGATTATCATCCATTTACAAGCTAGAGTATCAAAGGTTTGATGAATTCGATTGCATATTCTGTCTTGACACAGTGCTGTCTGCCATAAAGTCAGTGTATTCAGATTTTTTTTAACTGAAGGGATAAAAAGGGACAAGTCACTTTGTGATTGACTTTTCCTGTTAACTGAATTGATTATTTTTTTCTGAATAGGTCAAGGTCAAAGTGTTTATTGTCATATGCACAGTTAGGAAACGTGTTTCCCTGTACAATGAAATTCTTACTTTGCCTTCCACATGAATGCCACAAAATACAAATGAAATATAAAGTAGATAAATAAGTAACACAAAATCTAAGGCACTTTAAGCAGCAAATGCAGCAATATAATAAAAAAATATAAGAATATAATAGAGAATGTATGCTGCATGGGAGCAGCATGTGCAGCAGTCAACAGTCAATGTGCAATTATGTATGGGCAAACTGAGAATGTAGACTGTACAACATGTATTTCCTGGTAATAAACTCCTCAGCTGTTTAGGAGTCTGATGGCAGAGAGAAAGAAAGAGTTTTTCAGTCTAGTGGTCCTGCATTTCACACTTATGATCCTCCGGCCAGAGGGCAGAGAAGTGAACAGTCCGTGCTGGGGGTGGGTGGGATCTTTGAGGATGGAGGCAGCTTTCCTATGCACCCTGCGATGGTAAATGCTCTGCAGAGAGGGCAGTGGAGTCCTGGTGATCTTCTCCACAGTCTTTACCACTCTCTGCAGGTGCTTGTGGTCCATAGCAGTAGTGCTGCCACAGACAGTGATGCAGCTAGTCAAGATGCTCTCAATGATGCAGCTGTAGAAGTTGCAAAGGATCCTAGGCGACATGCCAAACCTCCTCAGCCTCCTCAGGAAGTACAGCCGCCGTTGGGCCTTCTTGACCAGCTGTGTGGTGTTAAGTGTCCAAGTGAAGTCCTCGCTGATGTGGACGCCCAGGTATTTGAAGCTGCTCACCCTCTCCACCCCGAGCCCCCGGATGAACAGTGACTGAATAGGACTCAGTGTCCCTTAGATTTTTATATAAAGAAATTTGGATGAGAAAGTTGGAATGTTCTGATATATAAATTAACTTAAGATACTGTACACATTGTATTTAAGTATGCATTTTGTGAACTGTTTGTAAAAAATGAAATACATAAAATAAATATTTTGCAGAAATTCATATACCTATGTTATGATTTTATTGATTCTGTCACTCATTCTATCATCATCCTCTCATGTGTGATTACTGTGTCATCATCATTTCAGTTTTAAACAGCAGGCATTTCCATGTTGGCAGGTTTGGAGCAGGTTTTGGAATTGGTCGGTCAGTTGTCCTGTTGTACTCATTAGTTGAATGTGAGCTGTTGAGGTGAAGATTTGAATATACAGTAGCTCCACCTGTCTACTAAACCCAAGGCTGGATTACAAACTGGGTAAAGTGGGCAACTGGCCAAGGGTCTAAGATGTTCCAGGGACCCAGAAGCCCCAGGTTCACTCCATATTGGTTACGTCTAAATAATCACAACTGTTAAGAATTTCTACCACTAAAGCTCATTGTATAGTGTGACAGGTCCCCCGTCCTGTGGGCCTGGTCCTGTAGAGGAGCTCTGTCAAAATCTAGTTACATGAGTTGAATTATTTTAGTTTTTAAGATTTTCTTTTGTTGTGAAGCTGTTTTATAATGTTATATTCTCAATCATAATGTGGCTGCCATTGAAAATACTGTACGCATAGGTTATTTATGTTAGGCAATATCACATCTTATTCAGTTAATAAATTAATGTTTTATTAGTAAATTTAAATTTTTTTTAGTAAATGGCTAAAATAATATTGCCTTTCTGCACATCTCACAAACTAGCAACTGTCAGATGTTTGTCTGAAATCATGTGGTTGGACAGGAACTTGTGCAATGTGGTCATTTTAGGTTCCTCTATGTGGTGTAGTTCTTTACATAGTAATCTACTGCACTGACAACAAACAATATCGGTGCGGTACACGTCAGTGCGATTCTACACCATATGACCATGATTGCTGCAATTTATGAGAAATTTCCACAGAGATAACAACTTATGTTCCAAAGCTTTTGGTGGATGCTCATGATATCAGAAACCACAAATCTCCAAAATCACCACTAATTCATTATTTATACCTCCCCCACTTATCACACAGAAATAATAGCCTACAGCTCACTTACATTTACTCAGAAATACAAGATGAAAAAGCTGCACCTTTCGATTCCTCTTAAAAGGAAGCAAAATCATTTTAAAATGTATTTATCCCTCTGGAGAATTTGTCAGACTGGGCTTTGGTCTACACTGTAACGTATAGTAGCCTATACCTTTTGTGAGGAAGATGTAAAAAACAACAGTTGTCTGTGTTTAGGGTTGGGGTTGTTAGTTTGTTTTTTCTTTTTTTAAAACATAGTAAAACTGCTGTGATGATATCCATTACTGGTTAATGTCAAAGATATTTGATTCATAGAAACTCATTAGAGCAAGTGCTATGTCTTGACCATATTTATGAAATGTAGGGTGTTGAATATATTGAAATATAGCCAGTATTGTGTCTTTATCTTTCCCGTGTTTGTTCTAGTAAAAATAAATTAGAAACACTACCTCACTGGTGTACATGTTTAATTAAAGATAGATAGATAGATAGATAGATAGATAGATAGATAGATAGATAGATAGTGGTTCACTGTAGAGGGCAGCATTACTCTCCACAGCTGACAGTCTACTGGAAACCGTGCAGAAGAAAAAGAGCTTATGCCAGAAGCGGTGTTGATAGAGCACATCAACTAGTCATTAATTATTTGGCAGATATAGGTATTTTGGATAGGATTTAGTTGTTTATGCAGTTATAAGAACCTTTTTTTTTAATTCTTTCAGCTCTGTTGTCGTTCCACATTCCCGGCAGGTGGCGGTAATGCACCTTACGTTGGTTTGTAACCCGCCAATAAACATAGGAGGAAGAAGAAGACGACGTAGAAGAAGTAGTAGTGTTGATTGTGTTTAGGTTACGTTCTCTACAGAAAGTCCTGAAAAACGTGCAAATGGACGGTGAGTATAATTAACGGAGATGAAAGTAAGTTACGGTTAATGGGTGTCGATGCTGGTTTAACGGATCCGACAACCGTCAATCTGACGACATGTCCCCTCTGTGTCTGCTGGATTATTTAAGGGTTAGGGGTTCGAGTGCAGCTGTAAGTTCCGTCTGTTGACCGGTGTGTGAATGTGGTCAGTGACTAGACTGTGAAGAATGTGTTGTTCTGTTATTGGCAGTATTCTTCCAGTATCTCATAACCACTGTGTGTAGGCTTATGTTCACTAGCTACTAATGGTCTAATACCCATAGGGTGTAAGAACTTTGTTGCAGTGCTCACGTTTTAACTGACCAGACATTTTATGGTTGTTTTGGGTTACGTTTTAGTTTTTCTGACACTGTTCCGGGTCACACAGAACAATACTGCAATAGACAGGTAAGACAGGTCTGTCTACTCCTCGGTCTCCTCACATTGTGCTGTTCATACTTTAATATAGTTAAAGAATCACAAAATGTACATGTAGTTACACCTCTCCTGTGCAGGGTTATGTCTAAAGGTGGCTGCAGTGCTTATGGGACTCCCCCAGGCGAATATCAGTGTCACTGCCTGCAGAAATAACGAACACATGTGTAAATAATGAACATCCTGAATGGGCCTTGATGTTAGTCAAGGTTTTAGCTCCAGCCTGTACTGACACCTGGCTTTTTGACATTGAAGTCATCTCATTGTTTTCCACAGGATGAAATGCTACACTGAGAGTGCGTGTTTCGGTGATGTGAGCTAGTTCGTAGTGCTAGATCATGGAAATCCAACACCATGAGAAAGACAGCAAGGTGCATGGGATTTGAAGGCTTTCCCATGTGGCAGCTTCCATGGTTTTAACATCTCAGTTCCCACTTTGGGCTGTCAAATACCGGATTTTTATTTTTATTTATTTATTTATTTTTTCTAGGCCAGTATTGATATTTGGGAGTTTAAAAAGGCGGATAGGCTAATAATAAACCAGGAATAAAAAAACATAATCTTGGAACACAACTCTTGGATTATATTGTTTATTGTGACCATGATGCAGAATAAATGATTTTACAGGTGAAAAAGCAACCTGTAGGTGCCCGGTGGGCCACTATGTAGAGGTGGCACTGTGTCCAAATGACCTCGTTTTACATTTCTCTACATTAGTTTGATGTTGCTTTTGAAGCTTACGTTCACTGACACCAATATACTGTATCTGCCTCTAGCGTCAGCTGATTTATCCATCTAGTTGTAGTTCTCACAAACTCTAGAAAACTAAAATAAAACTAAAACAAAAAAAGGAAATATCAGAAACTTGCTTCTCCTGAAGTGATTTTGAAATTGCAGAAACACTTTGATCAGATTGTAATAAAACCTGTCAGAGGACCACAAAATATATTTTTCAGATGTCCCCACAGCAGCTGACGTTCAGCTCATGAAAGAAGTAGTCAACAGAAATTTGACAACAGTTTTGATGATCAGTTGATCAGTTGATCAGTTGATGGTATTATTGTCTCTGTTTCTTATGGCTGTAGACAGTTGGTCAAATAAAATAAGCATTTAAAGTTGATGACATATCTAGAACTTAAATATCCTTTAGTTGTTGTTGCTTTTATTGTTTATCAAGGCTCCACTGGCTCATGGCCTTCTGCCTTCTGGTCCAATGCATCAGTGAAGTGATCAGGTTTTGCATAACACTGGTTGTCTTTGTCCTTTCGGCAGAAGCACTTGTTCGAGCCAGGATTCCTCAAGACCTGGCGAAGGTCCTCAGTGTTCAGGTGAGCAGGTGCTTCTTGCTTGAAATGGGATGTCAATCCCAGGACTTTGCTGCGAAACTGTTTTTATAATCAGTTAATGACAAACTGCTGGTTCCATCTTAAATGCGAAGAATGGAGTACTGAGAGCAAAATGAATGGTTTGTTTTAAGAACTGTTGGTTGGATACACCAAGACATTTGGAAAATAATCAGCAGGTTAATCAATAAAAAAATAATTTCCTGTTAAACATTTAAAGCTGATGTTTGATTGTAAAGCTTACTGTTAAACCGTACACTTTCCTGTCTCAGTACCTATATTTGTCACAGCTCTTCACTACAGACATTTTGGGAGTTTCTGCGAATAATGATAATTGCAAAAAAGGGAGCATCAGCTGAATTATTGACCTCATTCTTAATTATGAATATTTCAACCTCCACCGTTCCACCAGACATGCTCTACTAAACCAGTTGTATATAAGGTTTGACCAAACTGCAAGACAGGACTTTGTTTCAAATGTACTTGTGTGTCATGTCCAGTCTCAGACCAAAACAAAAGCAGAGGCCTTCACCCAGGCCTTCCTAAAAAAAAGCCTTCAGCAGCACAAACGACACAATCTGAAGAGCATGTTGAGCCACAAGGCTGTGATCCTGGGCTACAGCAGGCCCAAGAAGGCCAAGAGGAAGAGCAAGAAAGCCAAAGGACTGAACGCTCATCAGAAGAGGGCCATGAAGATCTTCCAGATCAAGCCTGAACACCAGAGGTTGGTCACTGTGGAAAGCATGATTTGGCCTTTACTGCGTCTTCTATGGAAAAAATTGTATTTGGAGAAGTACATCTCCGACAAGCTTACTAAGATGAGTTGTGATATTCCTCGTATCCACTTGTTTTCCAGCTCCTCTCTTCCCGGTTTCACTGTTTTGATCCTTGTCGTTGTAGATACGAGCTCTTCCTGCCTCTGCATGAGCTCTGGAGACAGTACATTATTGACCTGTGCGGTGGATTGAAACCAACCAGGTAACTCACTGTGGAGTTCTACAGATTGCTCATTAGTTGCTACTGCAGAAGTACATCCACTGCGTACTATATATTCACTCCCAAAATGTATGTTGTCTCTACAGCAGTCCACAGTTTGTGCAGCAGAGGCTTCTGAAGGCTGACTTCCATGGTGCCATCATCACAGGTTGGTTGTTAGTTTGCTCTGATGCAGTGTTGTAGTTGAGCCCCCAGCGTTTAAGTCCGAGTCACCAAAGAATAATCCGAGTTGAGTCCCTGTTACCCAAGTCAAAGTCATCCAGGTCCACATTACTGAACTCAGCTGACCTGCTGTAGCCTGCTGCAGAGGTGACTAGGTGGTCACTAGGTTTCTCATGGCCCTTAACATTTTGATCTGAAAGCTGAATCCACGTCTCAGACTGGACTCGTCAGCTCCGAGTTTTGAAACATTTCTCTCTGGAATTGATCCTGATGCGTTCACTTCACCAGGAGGAATCTGATGTCTGGACTCCTTCTGCACCCCTCTGTGATCTGTAGTGGTCAGAGGTGCTCCGTTGCCTCCAGTCCATGGCTCCTCAATGGGCTGTCAGCTCCCAGAGAGCGCGGTGCATTGAGTAGGTCTCAGTCGTCCTTCATCCACCACATCAGCTCTTCTTTTTTCACCTTGTTTATCAATGCCATAGCAACCATTCGGGCTTTTTAGTGGCCTATGACTTAACTTTAAGTTAGTGAAGATTCCCCTCTGTGTTCTAATATGCCAAGATGACTGAATGGCCTACAGATTTTTTCATAATTAATAAAAAACTCTTGTCAGTTGCAGAAAATATTTGGCTAATGGAACCATTTGTGTATTGCATCATAATATCGCTCGGCTGTTTTATAAAAAAATCATTTATAGAATGATGGAGTGCACGCTTGATGAAAGTGGATACCGCAATTTCAGCATGGTGCGAATGGACAGGTTTTAATATCAATATCTTATACCAAATTATTAAAACCCATTTTTAAAAAAAAAAGAAAAAAAAAACAAGTCCTCTGCAACTTCTGAGTCTGAATGCAGTCGATGCTCGAATACAAGTCCCTAGTCGAGTCACGAGCCCTAACCCTGAAAATCTGGACTTGAGTCAGACTCGAGTCTGAGTCCTTGGACTACAATGCTGCTCTGAAGTTAACTTCCCAGTGACTTCAGTAACGCTGTCCAGTGCTTGATATTGGCATTTGGTACTGGTGCACATGAGGTTAGCCTTTCACAACAGGGTCTCTCAGGTTCAGGTTTTGTTAGGGTCTGTAACAACCACCTGAGAGAAGGAGTTCAGTCAGAGCCACCAGAGCAGTCAGCAGACATTTAGATCAGATGTCTTTAAACAAAAAGCAAGGTTAATTCCTGAGTTTATATAAACTATGGTGCATTGTCACAACTTGAATTGAATCTGAACTGAAGCTAAACAGAAGTAATGACTAAGCATAACCATGTGGCTTCATCCAAACTCAGCATTAAATGGAATATGTTGTCAGACGTGGCTCTGGTCTATACTGGGCACTGACTCTATTGTGTACGGTTCATAAGTTATCAGCCAAATGTAAATACAGCTACCAGAGCCCCAGCATGGGGTCAGTTGGTCTGGCTTCAGGACAGAAGCTAATGTTGGTGGGTAGTTTAAAGGGTATTTGAAGTTTCCAGAATGGCCAATCAAAGACCACTGGGTGTGGTGTTTGTCCAATCAGGTGAGAGGATTGATGACATATTTGTGAAGAAGAGAAACCAGCCTTATTCAGACATACCCAGACTGTGAGCTCTCTACAGTGTTCCAGTACACTATATGACCTTGCAACCTTGCCTTGTGACTAGTGCACTGTGTTGCTTGCAGTCACAATTAATGTGATGATCAGTGAACTGAGTTTCTATAAACACCAGTCTGCTTTTTGGTACGTGTTGCAGCTCCTGACCATGATCTGGATGTATTTCTGCAAAGATGCAGCTATGACAGTGTTGTACTAATAGTGTGCTGTTTCCTTTCCCCCACTCTCACAGTGGTCCGCTCTAAATGCCCGTCATATGTGGGGACTACAGGGATTCTAGTTCAAGAGTTCAAACATGTCTTCAAAATCATCACCAAGGAGGACAAAGTGAAAGGTTGGCCTGACACTCAGCTGTAGCTGCTCATGTTTTAATCCCGTCTGTTGAGAGTAGACCTGAGCAGTATGACCACAACACTGTTTCTTATATAGTATCTGGCTTTCTTTATTAAAACTATGCCTTTCCCCAGTAGGCAGGGCCATATGTGCAGTATCAATAACAGAAAAGCATCACTAGTAAGGATGTTCTGTTATATAATGCAAACTTTGTAAAGAACGCCAGGAGCGGCTGTGCAACTGGTAGAAAAGCAGCACTTGCAAGGGCATCACTATGCATTATTTGCTTGAAGGAAAAGAATCTGCTGCTGGGGAGTGCCTTTAGAAACACATCGTACAGGATTCAGAGCCACCTCAGTAATAAAACACAACAGGTTTGTAGCGCTGCCACTTTTAGTTCCAGTAAACTTTACAAACTTTACACAGCGTGGTGGTCTGTTAGATGTCAGACCTTGCACAGCTGAACCACTTCACTGAGGTAGCATGAGTACTTTTCTGTGGTATTATTACATTGTCTGTAGCTTCTGCAACCATCATTACTCAAGTTCCCACTCTCAGGCGTTTTCAAGGAAACAGCAACAGCTTACGTCACTCTTGTAGCTCCAGAGAGCTGCTGGTGTTTAAGTGACAGCAGAGGAACCACAAATCTGAGGCATTTTATCACATCGCTCAAAAATAAAAATAAAAAATCAGATTAAGGTGATCAATAGCCCAGTCCTAGCTGAGAGGTGGGTCTGTCAGCTGGAGGCAGATAACTGGGTCAGCCCACAGCTGTGGCTTCCATCAAAAGTTTCACTGTATGTATAAAAATATTAGAACATTAACTTGTATGAAGATCCTGCTCTTTCCTCAGAATATAGCACACACCTGATGTCTGCCAGATGTGCTACATAAATACCAAAACAGAGATGGCTTCACTCCTGACAAACTGTCAGATCTAATCAGTGTTATTGATCAGCCACAGGATTGTAAAAAGAGGGACCATGGCAGTTTGTCACCAGTTCCCACACTGAAACTTGAAATGCAGGATAACCCGGGGAACGGCGGGACATCTGTATTAACAAAACAAACATTTGTGCTTAAAAGTGCATCACAGTAAAAAGTTCATCCAGTTTGGTCACATTCAGCAGAATGGCAGCTGTGAACAAGCATATCAAGAATTTACCGTGTTAAGCCATCTTTCAGATAGGACGCAGTATGCGTGGCAAGCACAGCCCGGGGAAGGGGGGGTGCACACAGATTGCGCACATGTTGGGCGCCATTTTCCAGGCGAGCAAAAAGCTTTCCAGGAAGTGGTTAGCAGATATTAACTAGTTTTTTGGATGCACAATGTGGCGAGTTTAGACAATCTGCATATCAGCAAAAAGCTCTGGCTTTAGTTGTATTGATGATGAGGAGGAGATGAGCAGCAGCGAAGAAGGAGAGGGTGTAGGTCCGTCAAATCAGCTTCTCCTCCATTTTCTTTGTGATTCATCAGGTTCTCTGCAGTTGGACGCGTTGAGGTGTCGTCACAGAGCACTGTGCCCAAGTAGAACTTTTTCCAAATTCATGAACGCAGGGACAGGCTTGACCTCGGACTGCACTCAGCTCAACAACACAGAGAAATGAAGGGGTTTGATAGCGCCCACCGCGTCTTGTCTGAAGATGGCTTTATGGTGTTGCAGCCAGCTTATGATGAACCCTTTCAGCCTTGGTAGTCTATCTCTACACCACATTGTCACCTCTAACACACAGGTTCCTGTGTTTTTCTCCCCCTCCACTTGTCGTGTGATAGTGATCCCTAAGAGGAACAGCGTGTTTACAGTGGAGATTAATGGCTTCGTCTCTCACATCTATGGAAGCAAGTTTGAGCAGCGAGCCAGTGAACGCTCTGCCAAGAAGTTTAAAGTGAGAGGAACCATCGACTTGTGATGGCGCCAAGGATGTGCTGTGCCTCGATGAGAGAAGTTACAAACCCAGACTTCTACTGCCCTGCATTGGCCATCAGAAGGAACTAGAGCAAATGCATTATGGTCCTGCACATGCGACAGCAAAATGTCATCTGAAAAATAACCCTGTTTGTTAAGTGGTTCACTTTGCTGCATATTAATAACTTTAAAACACAGGTCTTACCTTATTTTAAAAGGGAGTTCCACCAGTGTTGCTCACTCACAATCAGCTCACATTTGGTGTGGAATGATAAACACTCAGCGATTCCTCTTTAAGGAATAACACTGCAAGTGTGTGTTGTTTATCAGAGCCTCGGTGGCAGAGGCTGAACTTCCCCTATCTGTTGCCACAGTAGTCGGCTCTGGGAGAGTGCAGGGGAAATGCATGACTGTTTGTTTTTCAGCCTGACCTAAATGTTTCTTTAGCAAGTTGTCCTGAGTTCATGGTCATATTTTTAGTCAACGATCAGACAGCAGCACTGAGTTGGTCTTAGTATTTAAAAAAACATTTTATTACAAAACAAGGAGCACACTGGTGTTACACAGTCCACAGGACTTTCTTTTTCCTTTTTGTAACAGAACATGAGAATGACCACACTCCGAGTTCTGACTGAGTACAAACACAGCATCGGTGTTGTCTGTGTACATCATTGAACTGCTTTACCTTTTCCCAGGGGTGTGTGAGTGCTGCTCTGCTTCTCACACCACAGCTGTCTCAGCACAAATCTGTGGTTTCAAAGATCCAACATCTTGGTTTCAGCAGTGTCCTATTTCCAAGTGTTTGGGCTCAATAGAGAGACATGCATGCAGAGGTGTCAGCCAGATCAGATCGCCGTTCTGGTTCAAGGCTGCAGAGTCCAGACTTTCAGGTTTTTTCATTTGCGTCATGAAACCAACAATACAGTGTGCACCTTTTATATTTCCTCAAAGACTGCAGCCTCTGCTCCCAGTTGTTCTAACCACATCACTTTTTGTTTTTTGTTTTTTTTTTTGTATAAATTGGTTTCAAGATATTTGTTTCTGAATCAGTGGAATTAAATCTGTGATGCGCAGCTTTAAAGAATAAAAAAAGAAGGAAAACATTTCCTCAGTGTAAACTATTTGCATGTGTGGAAAAACAAAAACAAAATCTATAAATAATCCATTTCATACAGTGTCTACAACTACTGTGCAGTCAGTGAGTAGCATTACACTTTCGTCCTGCAAATACTGCTGTGAAACCCACATGGTGGACAAATTCAAGTGCACTTCCTGTTCTGCTGCAGCCTCGAGCCAGCTTCAGCAGACGTGCAAGTCAGAGTTTGTTCAGCTTTGACTGTGTGGATGCCAGTAAACACAGAGTGGAGAAGTCAGTGCTGAGCTGTGTATTGTTTTCCTGCACGTAGTTTGGAAATCTCCCAGTCTGGGACTCAAAAAAGCCTGGAGTTAAAGGTGTGTTTTCATCTGCAGTGTAGAAATTTTGCATTCTGAGCAAAAATGATGATTGTCACTGGCAGGTCTTATACTTGTATAGCACTTTTCTGTCAGCACACTCAAACCGCTTTCATATTATTTGGCCATTCACACACCGGTTATATCACATGGACTGGAAAACCCAGGAGTCGAGCTGCCGACCTTCCTGTTGGGGGACGACCTGCTCTACCTCCTGAGCCACAGCCACCCTCTGATTGCTTGTTATGTAGGGGACAGTGTGAACAAAGGGTTGATTTTGGACTCAGTCATTGTTATGTGTTTTTTAGCTTCTCCTGCTCCAAAGTGGCCAAAATTACTAAGGCAGCTTTTTATTATTTTTGCAGCAGGAGAGGAAAACAATTCAAAAGCTCTGCTACCTGTTTATAGGATTCCCCCTGGGTGTTTTTGCTGTGTGTGTTTAACACTTTGCAACTTTGGTGTGATGACTAGCTGTTTATAGTTTCACACAGCCAGGAGCTGGAAGGAAGAAGACTTTAAATAAGCTGGATGAAAGCCACAGAGTTCCTCAGAAATTTGTTAAACAAACTTGGTGATACTGAGCTGCTCAACCAGTCTGACAACACTGCATGTCTGTAAATCGTGAGCTCTTGTCATGTTAGCTTTACTGGCTTTACAGTGGTTCTGCTTTGTTTTTCTAATGCTTCATTTTCTGTTATCCAGATGAATTCTGTGTCCACTAGAATATCTTTTTGTCCAGATGTTTAAAAGGTGTTGACTGCATCTTTATTCTGACTACTTCAGTCAGTGTCCCAATCACAGAGACACATACACTGATAGTCTCAGTCAGGAGACATAACTTATGTATAAAATCAGTACATAGAAACTGAAGCTGCCATAACATTTTTTAAATGTTGGCATTGCTTCTTTTGGAAAATCTTCCCTGTGTCATTTTCTCTGAATTCAAACCTAGTTCCCACCCCCTTTCTTATTAAATGTGTTGCTCTTGAGTGTGAACTTACTTTGGAAAGCCCCATTGCATCACCAAGAACTACAAGTATAAGAGCTTCTGCTCTGCTGTTTGTTTCTTCAGAGAGACAAAGACAGACACAAGACATCTCACAGCTACAGAGGGTGGAACTATCGGCACGTTCACACTGCTGCACTGAAAACACGACTCTTGTTGGCTTGTGAACAACATCTGAAAACACCATGGGGGATGAACCAAGGTTTGCTCAGGAGAACCAGGAGCGGATCCACGCTGTTGAAACCTCATTTGGACCTTTGGGGAAGTCTTTGTGCAAACCCGGTCGGGTTCTGATCGGAGAGGGTCTGCTGAGGAAGCAGAGCCGCCGGGGGCCACGGCCCAGAGTCTTCTTCCTCTTCAACGATATGCTGGTGTATGGCAGTATTATTTGGAACGGCCACTGGCACAAAAGTCAGAAGATCATCCCTCTAGGTGAGCACTTCATCTGCTTCCTCAGAACTCTCGATCCTACCAGACAGAAACGTCTCTGAAGAGTAAATTTAGGCGTAATTGTATCATTTTACAATGCATTGAAATGCATTGATAGTTTAGATCAACCTCCAACTACAATCTATGCCTCAGACCTGAATAAGTCTGTTGATGCTGCTCCAACTCTTCTAATCAAAAGGAAAATATTGTTACAAAGAATAGCTCCTCTGGTGGCTGTAAGTAACCAGATGTTTAGGGACAAAAGAAGCCTGTGGTCTTTAAAAAACAAGATGTAAAAACTGGGATGCTTTAGTCTTTCATAACTTATGTTCTCAGCTGACGTGCCTGTTGACCACAGTGTTCATACCTTTGTTTGTATTAACATACACATCTTTCATTATATTTTTTCCATCAGAGGAAATCCAGCTGGAAGACTTGGAAGATGGTGTGAAAATGAAGAACCAGTGGTTGATTCGCACACCACGCAAGTCCTTCTACGTGTCAGCCGCCTCACAGCAGGAGAAGCGAGCCTGGATTGAACACATCGAGGACTGCCAGTCCAGACTGCTGCAGAGCGCCGGCCACAGACCCAGGTCCCTCTTCGCCGTTACCTGGATCCCTGATCAGTCCTCCGCCATCTGCATGCGCTGCACTGAAAAGTTCACAGTGACCCAGCGTCGACACCACTGCAGAAAATGTGGCTTCGTGGTCTGCGGCGCATGCTCCAAGAAGCGAGCAGTAATCGGACACATTCATCCGACTAAGCAGTTGAGAGTCTGCACTATGTGTTTCTTTAGTCTCGCGAGGACAGAGGCAGACTCCAAAGATGTGACTCGTCTGCGGGGGAACAGCACTGAGAATACAGGTTTGGATGAAGATGAAGTGGAGAGATCTGGTGAAGAAGAGGAGGCAGAGGATCAGATGGAGGACCATGATCCAAGCAGGTGGATGGATTTGCAGATGGACTCCTGGCCCCCCTGTGTCTACTTCAACCCCAAGTACACCAGGGCCCAAATATAGAATGCTGCAGTCACTCAGACATAAGCTGGTGCTGGACTTCAGGTCTTTCTTTAACATGGCCTCGCAGGAGGTGTGGAGTAGATGCAAGTAAAATGACTGACTCAGGCATAATACAAGAGAATAATGTATAAAATAAAACACTTTTGTAGATCCTGTATTTATTGATGTGAAAACACTTTTCTCATGTTTGTGAAGTTGTTCCTTTATGTAGGTCTCAAGCTGCCTTACTAAGAGTTATTTAAGTCTGATTCCTGTCAAATGTGTATAAATCACAGACTTAATGCCTTTGAAGTGAACAATGAACAATAAAACACTCAAAACTGACAGATTTGTCTGTAATCATTCTAGTTTTACTACCTTGGCTAAGAGGGTTAGAGATCAGCGTGGTCTGTCTTCAGGATAGTTTAACAACTCCTTGATGAATTACCATACAATAATAACCCACACAGATGACACTATGAAGCAACGCTTCTCTGTTTTCTGGACCATGTGTCGATTTCTGTACAGTATGTACAGATGGGTGACCAAGAAAAATCCAATATGGCTTCAAAATGTAGCTGTGAAATCTTCCGTTTGTGTTCACTTGAGTTGTGATTTGTTGATGTTAATACTGCTATTTTGTTATATTACACAGCCATAATTATGCTGGTTTACTGTTTGCACATTGAGAGCCGATGTACCAGAGTCAAATTCCTCGTGTGTCTGTCACACCTGGCCAATAAAGCTGATTCTGATTCTGATTTGGTGACAGTGAGGGTCATAACATATGGATTCCACATCAACTTCATATTTATTAAACCAGTCAGTGACCCCTCATGTTCTGTGGCTGTGGCCATGGCGGTACTGGTTTGTCCTGTCATTTATTTGTTTTCCTCTCCTGTCTATTTACAGTATTGCTTCTATACAGGTAGTTCCAAATAGCTTTCACTCATGACGCCAAATACAGTGTGTAAGTACCTAGATGTGTATACTGTACAGTATCTCCACACTAGCTGCAATAATATATGCCAGCATTACTGATAGTAAGTAGGACTCACTACAGGGGTCTTTCTTAATAGTGCTGGTCTGCTGGGATCATTGATCATTTCCAATGAGGCATTGTCTGTTGTGCATATTTTGATTAGACAACATTGGATTGGCAACTCCACACATCTATGTATTACTAGCAATAGGAACTTTAGGGTGAATTTGTAATTGAAGTGAACAAACATTCATTGATAACAGAGTACTAGATGTTATTAAAATACATGCTGGACCTACATGCTGGTCCACACCATGTAGGTGTGGTTAAAGTTAAGCAAGTAGTAGTTATGGCATGTCTCCAGGAAATGAATGTGCATGTGTGATATCATTCAAATTCCACAAGATTTCCTCTAAAGAAAAACCTCTGGCAGCTGACATTCGTGTTCTGAAGAAAAACAAATGATTGCATACTACATATTGTACCTGGTTTTTGAAACAACAGAAAAACCGTAAACATCTTACAGAGAAACAGAATACAAACACAATAGAAAAGCCACACTTTTTGTCTCAGTGACCATGCCCATTTCATGTCTTTTCATTATTCAGTCTTCCATCAAAAAGTAACTTTGTAGTGCTACTAATTAGTTTCTTTCTTTTATGTGCACAGTGCACGGTAAGTTTAAATTGTTAGAACTTAAACCTATGATTATGACACACATCTGAATGTTAGGACAGTCACTGTGAGCATTAGCTCAGAGAAACACTGTGTGTAATGAGAGCTGCCCAAAACTGATCAAATGTCCCCTAGGCGCTACCTTAAAACATCCTCGAAGAAGTAAAAGCTCCCTATATTCTTTTTTGTAAACATTACACACCCTTCAGCCTCACACGTTCATACCCTTTCCACACTGCATACGTGAGTGTTGTACAGCGCAAACTGTTGTTTAACTGGGTTTTGCCACAAGTGGGAAAAGCTCTGGCAGTGATCCATCACACTGACTGTGGTGTCAAACCTGTCTGAGTTACCTGCCCCCAGCACAGATGGCTACATGGAATGAGGAAATATTGAAATGTTTTGGAAGAAGATACCTTTGGCTTTCAACAGAGAGTGGCAATTAGTGTTAGGAAAGTTACTCAGGAAGTGGAAAATATTCATCTTTACTACGTCTTCTTCTTAAAAAGTAATAATATTACTGTAGTTATTACTCAGTATGAAGAGTAATAAGCAACTTACTCAGCATATTGTATAGGGTGGGCCACGAAAAAGTAGCCCATGTACCCATACTGCCTATGGCACCGGTATTGGAGGCGGGCTACTTTTCTCTGGCCCACCCGTTTTTATATATATATATATATATTTATTTTTAACAAAAACTTTTAACAATCTGCACATCTCAAGAGCAACAACATGGAAGAATTTAACTGTTTAACAAAACAAGAGCATTGCCACATTTATATTATGTCCATGTTTGAATGCAGGGCCTTAGCTCCTAACAAAATCTTTTCACATTGCAGTATTACTACTTTCAGTTAGTAAAAGTGTCCAATTCCTTTCCTACCTCGGACTGTGAAATTTTGGATGCTAAGTGTGTATAAAATAACTGCAGACAATGAGAAAGCCTGTGCTCCTGGCCAGTAACTACTAAGATTTCTCATAAACGGGAAGGAAATGACAAGTGCATAACTCTATGATGTTGAAAAACATCCCATTTCAAACACTGCTGTAAACTTTTCTCAGGGGATGATGATTCCTCTTTTCACAGACCGGTTTTCTAAGAATGTTACTCCAGCACAAAGATACAGATGTTCTTTATTTCATTGTTTTGATTCTTGCTTGCAGTTGGTTTTAGCGATGCCACTTAGGCTGGACATGCTTAGTAAATACAACATATAATAACAGGTATATTTACAGTTGGAAATGACACCATCATTGTCAGTACTGCCAATTAATAATTTTCTAATAGCAGCAGTAGTAGAAAAACTGCCCTTCAGGTGTCTTATTTTAAAATGTAACAAAAAATCTGTGTGATCATAAAATAAAGTGTGAAATTGGAAGATATGGGCATTTAACAGACAGGTAGACAAAAGCCCCATTCAGGCAGAAGTTGTCTCCAGGGGAGGAGAAATGATTGTAATATTACCTGCCCCGATCTGTGATTTTATTCGGCTCAGAGGCATATGGCCTGTCAGGGAACCAACAGAGGAGCCGTCATGAGACATGTTCATCAAATGGATTGTCCTGATGCCATCTACAGGCTAGTGCCAATATCTTCTCCTGCCTAGTCCACTATGCTGTAACTGATTCTGTACAGTATACAGTATACACTATATCATTTTATCAAGAATTTCTTTCTACATTTCCTGGAATTAGAAGAGGATTGGCTTTACAACTTGGCAGCTTTGACTCTAGCAGGCGTCCTCCTACCCCGAGTAGGTCTTTGTCATCAGTAACAGGTTTGAGCTTGAACAGAGAACTGTTGCGTGGCAGGTCTTGTTTTGTCTTGATGCATCTGATTTCTTCAGCATATACTTTATGCTGGACACATCTGATGATTGTGTACTCTGCCTGATTTAAGGCTTCATCTGTGAGGCCTGGCCTGGCCTTTCACAAACTCAACAAAGAATGAGAAGGGTGGGAAGCTAACATTATGGTCTTCTTTGAACTTTGACCCCATCATTGTCCATTTTTCTTGAAGATGAAAGGGCAATTTCTCCACAATTGGATATACCCCTCTAGCTGTGTCTAGGTAACTTAAACCAGGTAAATATCCTTCTAGTTTTACAGCTTCCAGTTCACACAGAAGATCTGACAGATCACGAAGCTTGTGAGGCTCTTTGCTGGAGAGCCTGGGGAAGTTTTGTATCCTTGAAAACAGGGAGTTTTCTATTGCTTCTGGTGAGCCGTAACATTCTTCTAATCTTGTCCATATCATGTTCAGACCAGCAGGTAGGTGCTTTACATTGACTGCTTTTATCCTCTTAGCGTGTTCAGAAGACTCAGGGCCCAACCACTTGACGAGGAGGCTTATTTCTTCACTAGCTGTAAGACCAAGATCTCCGGTGGTATCCTGGAATGTGACTTTTCAGCTAAGGTAACTCTCTGGCTTATCGTCGAATTTAGTCAGTCCTCCAATCATTAGTTGACTCTTGGCTGAGAATCTGGCAAAATCACTCGTTGCGGCGTCAACATTATTTGAACTCGGCCTCTGCTGTGGTTGTAATACATTGTGAGCGGATTGTTGCATTTCACCCCTTTGCTGTGGTCACTTGGGACCTCCAGGATTGGGTAGTGATTTGGTTCTTGTTTAACATGCACATGTGCATATATCAGTGGTTGTTTGAATTGTTCTTCCTGATATGTAGTGTCATGTTGAAATGTCTCTCTGCTTTCCCGAGCCATATCGGTGCAACTGTGTTTGTTTATATATTCACTCTCTTTGTTCTGTGGCTGGTTGTAGCGGTAAGAAGCTCAGGTCTTCGCCTGGAACGACATACTGAACTGCCACAGACTCCATCACCTCTGCTTTAGCCATGGCTGTGTCTGCTTCTTTCTGAAGATTGAGCATATCAAGAGTTGCTTCTAACCGTGCCTTTTCCACTTTAATGTTCAATTCTCCTTCTCAGCTTAGGCTAATCTGGCCTTCGCAGCCTGAACTTCTGCCTGTGCGTGTGCTGTGGCCATACTGACTCAACAGTCATTTTTCCTGACGACATTGAGGACTTTGCAGAGTGACAGGAGTGCAACGACTTGCTTTCCTCTTTGTTTTGGGATTCCACTTCTGTTTTTTACATTATGATGACTGAGTATGACTGCTGACGTTGAATGTGTGTTTCACCTCTCATCCAAGAGGCTTCATCAGTTCTGACTGACTGGTGTTGAGCCGGAGATATTTATCCCCCTCGGTGGTGTTTCAGGCCTTTGAGGGCCAACAGCGTCCCCTGACGACGGAGTCGTTATAGCCCAGTGTCGGTGAGAGTTGTTACCCTGGACCGTAGCCCACCACAGAACATAAAAAGACATAAAAAGACTACCCCTGCTGTTGTACAAACTCAATACATTCCCCCTTTTGTTATATTACAGGTAAATCTGCTGCTGACTGTTTTTTTTAGCTGGGATATCTTCTGCTGTTGGTCATTTGCAATACTGTCTATGTATACCTCATATGCTATTTGCACCTGATCACCAGGTGCTGAACCATCTGACAATCTCCTATTACTGTTTGCACTGCTGTCACTGACTGTACTCGGGTTTGAGTCACAGTTTATTGGCTGTAGATTTATCCTAATTACGTCAATCCAGTTCTTATTCTATTTTATTGTATTGTATTGTTTTTATTCTACTTTATTCTATT